ATTTGTATAGTCCCACACCTATAACAGGAAGACTAATTCATTTACCATAGCCTTGAAGCTTTATAGATTCATGGTCATCCGCAATAATATTGCATGAATTCCTTCAACCATATCAACTAAATATGAATGACAATAATCTTGAAACATTTCATTGCGACAAAATTAAACTACTACTTCACTCATCAATTTTGAAGTCGTAGTAGCAAACCATTCTTCTATGATGATTGGTTCTAACACAGCTTGGTCCAACTCCAGGCCCAGTCTCAAATACCACTATTGAGTTTGGCCAATTCCAAATTCAGTAGACAAGCCACACTTGCATTCACTATCAGCCACGTCACACAGAAGCTTCTTCCAACCAACTAATCACAACAGAATAATAGAAGAACGCTCGTGCAGTTAGTTTGTTAGCTAAGTTGGTTATTATGATAGGTCCTCTGATTAGATTGAGGCTGAATCCTCTCGTATATATATTTAGTTTTCCCTTTATTAATTTCATTATCTGTAATAATCACTTTTCTACAGAATCAATAGAATGAGGTATTTCATAGTTTTCTTGAGCTCCAATATGGTATCAGAGCTATCTTAGCTCTGATATCCGCTTCACTTTCTTTTATCTTTTCAATCTGATCTTTGTTTCCATGGCGAATCAAGAACAATTGCCACCATTCCTCACCAATCCTTCACATCCATTCTTCTTACATCCGAATGAGAATCCCTCTCAGGTGCTTGTTTCTCCGATTTTGAATGGTCGTAACTACCATTCCTGGTCTCGAGACATGTCAATGGCACTGCTGTCAAAGAATAAGGTAGGTTTCATCAATGGTACTGTGATTGCTCCAGATCAAGATGATCCTTCCTATCAAGCATGGGAACGGTGCAATGTAATGGTGTTAGGTTGGATACACCGATCAATATCTCAGACCATTGCTCAGTCTATATTGTGGATCAACAATGCAGCAGACGCATGGAAAGACCTGCGTGATAGGTTTTCTCAATCGGATATATTCCGAGTTTCAGATCTTCAGGAGGAGATTTCTAAGATGCATCAAGGTGATAAGCCCGTTTCAGAATATTTTACACAGTTGAAGATCCTCTGGGATGAATTAGACAACTTAATGCCACTTCCTTCTCCTGCTATTCCTTGTGAATGTGGAGCCACAATTCGGATAAGAACCTATCGTGAACAGAACCACACGATTCGGTTTCTCAAAGGTCTTAATGAGCAATTTGCTCAGGTTAGATCACAAATTATGATGATGGAACCATTACTGAATGTTGTTAAATCCTTTTCTTTGGTGACTCAACAAGAGCGCCAGTTTCATTCAGAGGATGATCACAATCTTTTGAGCAATGTGCAAGCTTTGGCAGTGCTGAATGATCGAAGGAATAATTTTGAAAATGTGCGAGGAGGACGATCTTTTAGAGGACGTGGAGGACGTACCTATGGTGGCAGAGGTATTAGTAGGTTATGCACTCACTGTAATCGCACTAATCATACTATTGAAACTTGTTACCAACTCCATGGTTTTCCACCTGGATATAAAAGCAGTGTGGCAAACAATGTTTCTACTCAGCAAGAAATAAATTCGAAGAGCCAAGGCTTCCAAGATGCAAGTATGATTCAAGATCAGTATCAGCAGATCTTAAATCTACTGCAGAAATCAAACAATGGTGATACGAATCCTCCAGTGCACACTGCCAATGCCATTCTTGTTTCCAATCCTGTTGCAGCAAATGCTCAAGTCACACAACCAAGTACCAATGATGTTAATTGGATCGTGGACACAGGTGCGACAGATCACATCTCCTTTGTTGCATCTCAGTTTTCCTCGTTTCATCATATTAAACCAACCTCAATAACTCTTCCAAATGGATCTAATGTTGTAACATCAATATCTGGAATTGTGCATCTTACTCCTCACCTTACTCTCACAGATGTGCTATATGTTCCAGAATTTCGTTTAAATCTTATTTCCGTTTCAAAACTTTTGAAATCCAACCTGTATTTCATTGTTTTTGACAAATCTCAATGTCTCATCCAACAGAAAATCTCCAATTACCTGAGGACGATTGGTTCTGCTGAGCAATGTGATGGACTGTATGTGATCAGAAAAATAGCAAAAGTGAAGACTGATGATTCTGCAAACACTTCTGTATTCAATACCAACTCCAATTGTAATAATTCGAATTCTGTGAATAATGATGTGTCAACCTTATGGCACAGGAGATTAGGGGCATGTTTCCCAAAAGGTTTCTCATTATATGTCAGTTCAATTTCCCTTTGTACCTCCATCTCATATTGAACCGTGTGATATTTGCCATTTAGCTAAACAGAGAAAATTACCATTTCCATTGAGTGATACCAAAAGCACTTTTATTTTTCAGTTATTGCATGCTGATATATGGGGGCCATATTCAACAAGTTCCATACACGGTCATCGATACTTTCTTACCTTAGTAGATGACTACTCTAGGTTTACTTGGGTATTTTTAATGAAGTGCAAATATGAGACTAGAAACCATCTTAGAAACTTTATCACCTATGTTCACAACCATTTCAACACATCTGTTAAAGTAATACGCACGGATAATGGTCCTGAGTTTATGATGAAAGAGTTTTATGCATTAAAAGGCATTGCACACCAATGTAGTTGTGTTGAGACACCACAACAGAATGCCAAAGTTGAGAGAAAACATCAGCATGTTATGAATGTTGCCCGTGCCATTTACTTTCAAGCTCATATCCCCAATACCTTATGGTGCTATTCTATCACACACACTGTTCACCTTATAAATAGAACATGCACACCTTCACTTAGCAATAAAACACCTTATGAGTCTCTATATGGTCACCCTCCGACTTTACTCCACCTTCGCGTCTTTGGTTGTTTGGCTTATGCCGCATCTCTCACTTCCAACCGTACCAAATTTTCTCCACGAGCAAGGAAAGCTGTTTTCCTTGGGTATCGTGATGGTGTCAAGGGCTACCTATTGTTTGACCTTTCATCTAGAGAAACTTTCATCTCCCGTAACGTGATCTTTTACGAATCCTACTTTCCTTTTGATCCAATATCCTCTTCCCAAACCCAACCCTCTACTGCTAGCTGTCCTATTTCACTCACATCCGCTACCACTATTGAGCCTGCTTTTCATCCAATAACACTACCCGATATTTCCCACCGACAACCTCACATTGTGCAATCCACATCACACAGTAACCCCACATCAGCAGCTTTACCTGATTTTGACTTACCTTTATTATCTACACTGCCCAACATACCCCACCAGCAAACCCCTACTGTCCAGTCACTTTCAGCCCCGTGGCCAAACTCACTTTCATATGTGTTCTCCTAGCTGTTGTTGCTTCCAAGGGGTGGCTACTTGAGCAATTGGATGTCGACAACGCCTTTCTTCATGGCGATTTATTTGAAGAAGTTTACATGACCATTCCTCCGGGTCTTGAAGTCTCCAAGCCCAATCAAGCTTGCCGTATGAAGAAGTCCTTGTACGGTCTCAAACAAGCCAGTAGGCAATGGTACAGTAAACTCTCTTCTGCATTACTCTCTCTTGGTTATGTTCAAGGCCAATCAGATCACTCATTGTTCACCCTTCAACGTGGAAGTTCCTTCACCGTTCTCTTGGTTTATGTTGATGACATCGTTTTGTCTGGTAATTCCTCTTCTGAGATTGCTCGGGTCAAGACCTTTCTTCATGAGAAATTTCGCATCAAGGATCTTGGTCCCCTTCGCTATTTTCTGGGTCTTGAGGTGTCTCGTTCCTCCCGTGGCATTCATTTGAATCAACGCAAGTATGCGCTTGAAATCTTAGCTGATATGGGCATGCTAGCTGCTAAGCCCTGTAATAGTCCCATGGATGCTTCTCTTCATCTCAGCCGCTCCAATGGAACTCCAATATCGAATGTTTTTGCTTATCGAAGGTTGATTGGTCGTCTTTTATACTTGACTACCACACACCCTGATTTGAGCTTCGTTGTACAACAGCTTAGCCAATTTCTTTCTTGTCCTCTTGACGTTCATCACCAATCAGCAGTAGGTGTTTTACGCTACATCAAAGGTTCACCAGCTTCTGGCTTGTTGCCCGGATACACGTCGCTCTATCACTGGCTTCTGTGTGTTTATTGGTTCCTCACTTGTTGCATGGAAATCAAAGAAACAGTCCACGGTTTCTCGCTCTTCGTCCAAAGCGGAATACAGAGCTATTGCTTCCCTTGCATGTGAGCTCCAATGGCTTCAACATCTGTTTAGTGACCTCTCTCTTCCTTGGTCCAAGCCTGCTTCTGTTTTCTGCGATAATAAATCAGCTATCTACTTGGCTCATAACCCTGCTTTCCATGAACGTTCTAAGCATATTGAGATCGACTGTCATGTTACCCGCGAAAAGATAACTTCCGGTTTGCTGCGTTTGCTTCCAGTCAAGTCTTCCTCTCAACTAGCTGATACATTCACGAAGCCTCTTCCTCCTACTGCATTTCAGCTTACTCTTTCCAAGTTGGGACTAGTTAATCTACATAGTCCCACTTGTGGAGGGGTAACACAACTTGGTCCAACTCCAGGCCCAGTCTCAAATACCACTATTGAGTCTGGCCCAATTCCAAATTCAGTAGACAAGCCACACTTGCATTCACTATCAGCCACGTCACACAGAAGCTTCTTCCGACCAACTAATCACAACATAATAACAAAAGAACGCTCGTGCAGTTAGTTTGTTAGCTAAGTTGGTTATTATAATAGGTCCTCTGATTAGATTGAGGCTGAATCCTCTTGTATATATATTTAGTTTTCCCTTTGTTAATTTCATTATCTGTAATAATCACTTTTCTACAAAATCAATAGACTGAGGTATTTCATAGTTTTCTTGAGCTCCAATAGGTTCATTCTACAACAGAATCTAGCACGGTATTTACCTACAAAGATATGATCATTGATACATGAGTTAGCCTAGTTCCTAATATTTAATGCCAAATAATTACTGCAATTTGAGTGCTGGGTTTACAAGCTGCAATGGCTTCTTTGAAACCCGTATATTGCTCAATGGTGTTCACCAGTATATTGCTCTCACCAAGGCTGTCCTCTTCCTCCAAGCCTACGTGCCAACTCAATATCCTTTTTCACTGAGGCAACAAAAAACCAAATGGAACATTTATTCATGAGGTTACTGAAAGAAAACAACATGGAAATATTCATAAGGGAAAAACATTAATCAATTAATGAACAGCAGGAATGAAATTATCTTTGGGAAATACAACTATACAAGCTAACCAAGGCTCTGTTTGAGTATTCTGTTCATTTAAATATCTAGCAACTTAAATTCATCCATAACAGTATGACACCAGCTCACTCACCAGAAGGCAACACAAATATCTGTCTGAGAATGACTTTTTTCTATTACTGAAAATTGTTGATCTTAATCACCCGTGCATATCTTCTGCAAACCTTTCCATGACCAGAGGTCTCAAACAGTTCACAAAGCACATTTAACACTTAGTTTTCTGGATTTAGCAGATGTAGCATGTGCCCGTTACACGGTATAGCCAAGAGTACCATTCTTTAAAAGTGGTCATACCCAATTAAAAGAATGGGAGTGGATGGACATGGTAAGTCAGAACTCCATGTGCTCTGCTCAAATAAAACAACACTACCACAATTTTTTTCTCTACCATTCACTGAATCCCCATAGTTAACTACATCATACAGAGTACAGACTGTAGAATATTGTTTAAAAGCAACTAATACAGTAACAAAGGAATTCATTCATCTGTAACCAAAAAATTTTTTATTTTTTTTTCCATTCACCAATAAAAGCAGCATAGAATTTATAAAGGATAAATTCGTGATTGATAAGTTTTTCCATTAGGAAAATAATTTTATCAACTTACTAAGAGTAACACGCCTTGCATGAATTGCACAGAGCATTCCACCTTCAAACAAATGAACCAGATAATCCTCGGCTGCCTGCAGGATTGTCAAATAAAAACTCAGAATGATCATAGTATATATGAAATATGTTGTTATAAATCACATAACAAGCATTTCAAAATAAATCACAAAAAACAGCAACGCTGCTAACTAAACTTAGTACAAGGCATCAGAAAAAATCATCATAGAAGTAGATTTGGCAACTGGGATGACGTATTAAAGGTGTGGATGATGGTCAAGAGTCTGTTGGATGAGGGCCCCTGGCCTCCTCAAACTTTCATTGTTGGTTCTCCTCCAACTTGGGAAGTAACAAAGGAGAATGCATTTTATTTGAAAAATGTCATTTACTATTTTACCTAATAAAATGAGTTACTTAAAATAGTTTATAAGGGTTATACTGAAAATTTATACTTATAACCCTTTACCTTCTCCTTTCCTCCCTCATTAATAATTATCCAAACAGAGGGATGGCAACTCTTTTTCATTCCATCCTTTTCATTTTGATTTCATACCATCCTTTTCCATTCCAAACATAGCCTAGGTTGTTGAAACAGTTTTCTCAAAGTGATTACATGAAAGGCATGATAAGAGAACAGAAACCTTAGTTGCTATGTAAAGAAGCATGCGTTGCACCACCTCATGTACTGTTAAATCAGTTCATCGCTTCAAGCATTGTTGGACCCATATAGGAGGCGACTCTCCCATCGCCATTTTTCCATTCTCAAAACTCAAGTTCGAGACCTTTGGTTGAGGGGAACTAACTCCGTATCACTTGAACCAATAATTGTTGGTAATACTAATCCCATTTCAATAAGACTGGAGAGAGCTAGAGCATATTGGGTTTTACTCAAACATAGTGTCTAAAATCTCAATCTTCAATAATCAATGGATTATTTTCTAAGCAGATTTGGAAATGTCCATTGTGCTTCAATTTATTATATAACCATCCGATCATACACATAAAATAAACAAACTAAAGACTGGACGGCTGTAGATTCAAATAACTTATAAACAATATTCTATGTATGAAACAAATAATATTGAAACAATGTCTGGGAGAAGTTAAAACCAATTTATAAACAGATTTTTCATTTAAATATAGAAAGAAAACATTTGCACGATAATTTAGATAAATTGCAACTTGCAAGCACTCTAGTGATTACTCAAATGAGTTAAATACCTCCTGAATAGCTACCACGGCTTCAGGTGTCCAGCGAGAGACCTGCGTAGATAGCTGGTTCGTAATCTGTTTAACCTACAGCAAAATTAAAAACAATGCACCAACAGTGAGTACAAACATCCCACAAGATTTAATTCAGCCTAATAGGCCAACTAATCTTAGTTAATAACAAGCTTGTGATTCTATAAGGAGCAAGCTTTTCAAAAACTTTTATCAGTGAATAAGTGATAGGGCAAGTCCCAATGCACAAGGCTGCCCAACTTGAGAGAGTAAGAGTAAGAGTCAATTGTATTCAGTCATACTTTTATCTATTTACAAAGAGACCGTTTCCAATACTCGAACTCATAACCTTCTAGTCACAAAGAGCAACTTCACCACTACAAGGCTCGCCCCTCTATCAGTGAATAAGTGATAAAATTTACAAAAACATTCCTTAAAAAAAAGAGAGTAGCAACCAAACTATGATGCTTATTTCGACCTAACTACAATTGTCAGACTCAACAGCCACACTCCAAAACAAGTTTTCCCCCCTAAGTTTATATCAGATAGAAAGTAACATTATCCTCCAAATCCTCAAATTTTGCATTTCAATGGTCATTGATGATGATTTTTAAAGGTTGACACAAATCTTACACATCTAATAAATGGAGCAGCTGGGATAAGTAACTTGAAAGTCTTCTGAAATTTACGGATCTCACGGAGTGCCACCGTTCCTGGCCTACTCCGCCTTTTCTTCCTCCCATGAGTACCAGGTGCTGCAATTTTATTTTTTCATATTTTAACAAAACAAACACCAAAATCAGCATAGTTATTAGCACAAACCAAACCAACTCAGAAAGAAAATAGAACATTATTTTTTATTTTGTTTTTTGTTTTTTCTTTTCCTGAAACAATGAAACACACACACATACATACACTGTGGTTCTCCTTGTTCACCTCTCCTCCTCCTATCTCCACGAGCAGGCTTCAGAATATTCAAATTCAATGAAACAAAAACAAAAACAAAAACAAAAAACTGTGGACATATAAACCTAGAAATCGTAACAGAGAGAGAGAGAGAGAGGAGGTTACTGATTGGGATTGTGGTGGTGCTGAAGCTGGTGTAGATGGCGCGTTCTTTCTACCTGTGAATTTGCATAACGAAGGAAAGTGAGGGTTTTGGGAATGAAGAGTGAAAACAAAGACTTCAAATTCAAAAAAAATAAAAAATAAAAATAAAGCACGAACCGCTTTTGCGAAGAGCTGGAGCATGCTTAACTCTTGCCATGGGATTTCAGCAATGGACACAAACCAAACGCGACCTTCACATTTTAATTTTCAATTTCATTTTCATTTTTTTTCAAAAAAATTAAAACTGGCGCTTCTTTTTGTTTCTAACTCGCTTTCGTTTTTTTGATTTTTTCGAGCGGAAGCCATGCCTCCGTTTCCTCGTTTACCAAACAACCCCCAATTTCAAAATTATTTACCGTTATGAGCTGTTTGCTTGTCAGGTGCTCAAACCCTCGTCAAGTAAATTCTTGAAAAATCTTTAAAGATTAGAGGATGTGTCTTTCTTCTTGAATGAGGGATTAGTCTCATCTTCTTCTAATAGCGAAGCTCAAACCAGTTGTTCTAATGAGGGATAGTCTTTAGAGCTGTATTCCAAGAACAAAGTGAGCAGAAGAGGTTGAATAGAGATACTCTAAGTTATACCAAAAAAAAATCAAGAAATATAAGAATGGTGTAAAAAAATTACAACATTACCTTGATGGCAAAAACGCAGCTCTAGTCATAGCTTAATTTGTTATAAATCTTATAAATTAAAAGTTTTAGTTGTTTGGTAAATGAGTGTAAAGGGGATTCACTTATGTCATGTGTAAGTCGGGTTTTTTACCCTTATAATCCTTTAGGTATAATTAATTATCAAATTGACCTTCTTTATAAACTATTTCAAAAATTTAACCTCCTCAAAAAACATAACACCAATCTGCCCTTGTTTGACCGTTGATCACCAAGCCTACCCGGGTACACCCCTCCCTACCCCGGTATTTTTTGAAATTTTTTGCCTACCCGGGTAGGGAGGAGTGTACCCGGGTATATTTCTTGACATCTGAAAAATTGCTTGAATTATTTACCCGGGTAAGAAGGGGTGTATCCGGGTAAATCTAGGACAATATTCATATTGTTACATAAGCAGCACAATTGGGAGTAACTAATTTCTTAAATATTACAATTACAATGTAGTGTTCTTTCTAATCTTCTCAGCTGATAAATTTTCCCAAAATACCACTACTTAAATATAGCATTTGGCTATTAAAATTAACAATTAACATCAAGTTGAAATGGCAAAAGAAAAGGAATCACGAATACCTCGTAACCTTCATTTATGCGTATTCAGCATACTTCCTTGTTTTCAAGTAACAGGACATCAAGTTAAGTAAGCATGCCAAAAGAAGTTTCCTACTTTGAGAAGATGGAATATCTTTTATGTTTTCCTTTGCCTAGAATATAAAAAAATGAAAACAGACCAAAAAACTGATAATTTCCTTAGAGTCTCCAAAATAGGGATAAGCAAGATAAAAAAGTGTGGGGAAGACAGTTAAGAAGTCACAAAAGTGCACTTACAAGCATATACTTCTGTAAAGCATCATTGAACCTTCCTTGATTATGAAGTTCATTTCCCTGCAAAACTTAAATTTAGTTCATCAAGCCACACAGTAGACTAGACACCAACTGGAGCTTTACAGAAACTGAAAAAATAGTAATCAGTTATCAGGGTAGTAAATCGAGTAACATTTCATGTCTTATCATGCAATGACAGCAAGTGTATTTTCTGATCAGATCATTCTATGGAACTAAAGTATTATTCAAATGTAATTTTATTTACGAATCTTTCTCAGAGCCTACATGATTCTGGAAAAGGATTCCCGCAGGGCATCATCACTTGGCTTTAGTAGGTAATTTGGGCTTTAAGGACTACCACATGATTATAATATGCTTCCATCAGGAAAAAATAGAATGTATTCTTAACGACTCTTTCAAACTACAAATCTATGAAGCACCGACACTTCAAAAATCCTGACGTGTCGTGTCCGACACTCTCGGACACTCCGACACTCTCCGACACTCCGACACTCTCCGACACTCCAACACGTGTTATAGAAATTCAAAAAAAGGTTCAAAGGTTGCGTTGCGTTGAGATTTTAGTTTCAATTATTAGATTCGTTAAACTACGATTACCATTTTTTTGAATTTAATATAAATATTTGGGATATCTTATGTTTCTTTTCAAAATTTATGAATATTATAAGTTTAGATTCATTTTTTTTGTTAAATTATTAAATATTACATACAATATATATTACATAAATTAAAAAATTTATGTAATATCAAAACGTGTCCTAACGTGTCGAAATCTAACATTTTTTAGAATTAACGTGTCGGAGTGTCGTGTTGTATCGTGTCACGTGTCTCGTGTCCGTATCGGTGCTACATAGCTACAAATAGGGCATACTGCAAAAATAGTGGAACTTACACTAGGCTTTCTTTTCCCTATTCAACATGGATTCATCTCATGTCAAGAATTTACCCTAGTACACCCCTCCCTACCCGGGTAAATAATTCAAGCAATTTTTCAGATGTCAAGAAATATACCCGGGTACACCTCCCCCTACCCGGGTAAGCAAAAAAATTCAAAAAATACCCGGGTAGGGAGGGGTGTACCCGGGTAGGCTTGGTGGTCAACGGTCAAACAGGGGCAGATTGGTGTTATGTTTTTTGGGAGGTTAAAATTTTAAAATAGTTTATAATGAAGGTCAATTTGGTAATTAATTATACCTAAAGGGTTATAAGGGTCAAAAAGCCTGTGTAAGTCTTAAATACTTTATATTATTTAATAATTACTTATGAAATGTGAAATTAATCTATAAAACCATTACATAATGTGATAATATTTTGAAGATAATGCATATAATTCTATATTTGATGTTTACTTATATTTTAAATAACATACTTATGTTAAAATATAAAGGAAAATCATATTCTTATGTTGCATGAGATTTATCTCTCATGTTACTCTCACTTCAAAAAATGTGTCTTTCACCAAATGGTGGTAGCTCAGTTGGCGCATGGGAGCTGAGCAGGTGGGGGTGAGGGCATGTGTTCAAATCTCCCTAGTACCACCTTTGGGAGGGGTTTAAAGCCTTAATCCCGGACCCGCCCCGAATCGGACTAATCGCAAAGCGATGAACCGAAGGAATATTTCAAAAAAAAAAAAAATGTGTCTTTCTTTTTTCTTTTTTTTAAAAATTAGTGGGATCCACTTTATCTGTCTCTTAACATGAGAGAATTTCTCTCATTCTACATGAGAATTACTTCTCCTAAAATAAAATAAAATATCATCTGCCATACTAACATAAAAATAAATATATTTTAATAATTTTTTTTCTTTTTTCTTTATAATGGGATCCACTTATTTTTGTGTGAGTGTGAGCACCATATTTTGTCCAATTTTTTTTCAAAAAAATTAAATTTTATTTTTCGTCTAAATAAATATTATATGTAGAATACGTTTTTATCTTTATTTTATTCAAATAAATATTTTTAACTACTTTACAAAGCAAACATAAATGTTATAGTCTGTTTATGAATTCAACATTTAATTTTTATTCCATTCACTTTACAAAGCAAATATTGTTATTCTATTTTCAATATATATATATATATATATATATATATATATATATATATATATATATATATTTTATTTCTGCTCAGACTTTTTTTTATAAAAATTAATAATAATTAAAATTCAAGAAAAATCTCAGTTTTTTTTTTCCTTAGACCATTTCATGATTCACTCAGGTCCCGTTTGGATGAGCTTTTTTTTCTTTAAAAGTTGTTTTTTTTTTAGAAAAAAAGCACTTTTCGTTTTTAGTTCGTTTGAATGTCTGTTTTTTAAAAAGAGAAAAGTCACAAAAAAAAGCCAAAAATCTACTTTTTTTCAGAAGTTAAAAATTTTAACTTCTAAGAAAAGCAGAAGTCAAAAGTCAAATATTTTTTTCAAAATTTAAATATTTTTATAAAAATATAAATAAGTTTAACTTTTGTAAAAAGTACTTTTTAAATAAAGAAATGATAAAAGTTACTTTTTCTAGAAACTTAAACAAACGACCTCTCTGACAAAGATAGCTACAGTAGGTACAACAGCCATCACTCTGTCAGTTTCAACACGCCAACACAGGAGAAATCCACACAAACGCGCAAGCTGTTACGCTCATGGCTCGAAGCACAGCAAACCAAAAAGAGTTATCAAGAAAGAAAATGGAGGCTCAGGCTCAGGCTCAGGCTCTGTGTTATCGCCAATGTCAGGTTCAATATTTTTCCATTACTTTTCAACACCATTGCATTAAAGAATTTTTGCATATATAGGAATATAAGTATGGACAGAGAGGGGGACCTAGAGAGGTTTTTTAAAACAGCTTTGAATATGGAGAGAGAATAGAGAAAAATCAGTAAAAATTCTAGCGGTACGCAGTACCAGGGTCCTTTGCAGAAACAAAGCTTGGAGGAGACCAATGGGCGTTATGTGCATTTGATCTGCACTGTAGGTGTTCGGTGAAAGGACTAAAAGACATTGCTACTCAATCGGAGTTTGAATTTGAAGCAAGTTTTCAAATGAGCGGAAAAAGAGAAAGGAGTCCTAAATACTTATGAGAAAAAGTAGCATTCGTGTTTGGTAGAAGATTTGCAAGTCCAAAGCCTTACACCATCGAACCACCAACAACTAGTGATTAAGGAGGTAGGCAATGACCTGGACCTGCCTATATGTAATATGTAAGTAAGACTTATCTATGTGATATTACACTTTATGTGATTTTATATTTTGATTTCAGTTTTACTTCCTTGGATGTTTGATGGTTAATTATGCTTGTTCGAGTAGCTACAAAGTTGAATAATAAAGTAATATTATTTGATTTTTTTTTTTAATTATTAAATATCTAATAGGCTAAAAAAAACTAACAGACCTAGACTAATGCTTTTATTTTTTAAATATAAAGCAGATCAGACTTATAATTCGAGCCAACATAAAATTAACAGATCATTCAAGCCTAAAGAAGTTTACACAAGTTTTGCCTATTTAAGTCAAAATCTAACCTAACCTATTTACACCTCTACAGCTTGATGGCAAAAACGTAGCTCTAATCATGCTTAATTCGTTAATAATCATATAAATTAAAAGTTTTAGTTGTTTGGTAATTGAGTGTAAAGGGGATTCACTTAGATCATGTGCAAGTTTTAATTACTTAATATTATTTAATATTTGTTTGTGAAATGTGAAATTATTTTATAAAACCATTACATAATGTGATAATATTTTGATGATAATGCATATCAAATTTTAAATGATTTAGATATTTGTTGCCATTGCTGGTATATAATTCTAGGTTTGATGTTTACTTAAATTTTAAATAACATACTGTATGTTAAAATAAAATGATGAGTGAAGGATCAATCAGTTTAAAAATTGTATGAAATTATCACCAAACATATTAATGATCCCACATTTCAACTTAACCAATGATGTCGAGTGTAAATACTGAATATACAACTTTCTTACCCCCATGTGGGATATAGAAATCTCAGGAAAAATTGCATAAAAACAAACCATATATATATATATATATAATTTTCCCAGTCATGCTTTCCATAGCCATTGATTTGTCTATGAAAATTTAAAATCATCTCAGATATCCTAATGTCACAAACTCCATGAATTGCATATATAAAATCTTATTTTGCTTACTCCAAAACTGAAATAGGCAATGTTACAATAAATCCCAACATAACTACTATTATGAGTACAATGTTAACTAAGACAACTACCTCTCCAACAAATCCATCGAGTACAAAAAGTGTACGGAGTAGCACAAATGGAAGGATAATCATAACAGACTATAAATTATACAACTTGTGACATGGATCTTATCTCCAACCTAAGATGCATGTACATTGAAAACTTTCTGACAGGAATATAGATCATAGTATTTGTAAGTAAGCTCTTGATGCGTGGTGGATATTTCAGAGTATTGATTTGCCTGCTATAGAATTATCTTCAAGATTAAAACAAGTGAAGCTCTAAGGCTGTGAAGGTGTAGGAGATGTTGGAGGCTTGTAATCTGGATACTGCAATTCAAGAAGAAAAAAAAGCAAAGCAGAAATGGACATGAAGGATGGTAAACATGTGTCAAGAGCATGGAATATAAAGCAAGAGAATAGTTTTCATAAATTAACTTGTTCTGGACCCACACCATGGGCCCCACAGGTTCTAAAAGATAAGAGCTCGTATCCTAATTCGAATACGAGTGAGCATAGTTCGAATCTTGCCTCACATGTACTGAACCCTAACCTTCTTTACTATCACTTGTCACTGTACACACATCACCCTGTGGGCTTCAAGCCTTTTCTTGTGCACAGTGGCTTTCCCTCGCAAGTCGCAACTGTCTCTTTCATAAACTCCGCTAGCTTACAGATCCAACATTAACCACGACCAAACATAACTTATCACTTAATTTTTTTTTGAAAACTTCAAGAAATATGATTTCTCCTCTCACATGCAACTTCACATTCTCTCTTGGGCAGAGGGGCCTCAGAAATGAGAGTTATATGTAATCACAAAATGCAGCGTGACATGTGAGAATGACAATACAATTATTTGCCTTATAGTCTAATAAAGAGATTCTATTTCAAGATCATAATCACACTGGAAGTAAAACATATATGGAAAGAAAAGTTCCAAGAAAACAAGCCTATCTAATCAGCACAGAAAGTGAAAAATTCATAGTGCAAGGAAGTTAAGACATTACGTATGGGTATGGTGAAAGTGGTTTTGGTAGCACAGGAAGTGATTCTGCCTTATTTTCAGTTGTGGGCACCGAGTTTATTTCAGGTGCTGCTACAGCATCTACTTTGGACTCGGTGACACTGTCAGGAGTAGCTTCAGCTTTCTGTACGGTGCTATCAGCTGCATCAAGCTCTGGACTTTTTTCTGTTGGAACAGGAAGAGCCTTATTATTGGTGGAGGCTGGTAGAAGAGCCTTTCCAATTTCCTAATGTTCCCAGCCATTCCATTCAAAGAGAACAAGGTCAGAGGAAGGGGAATAAAGAAATCACACATAAGGCAAATTTTAAGAAATAGATATTATACATTGTCCATTGAAATAAACATTCCAAAATGCATCACATCATAATTACGGGTAATTTATTAGGATATAGATCATGAAAAATTTTAAGTACCTGTATTTCATCAACAAGCTCTTTAGGGGCAACCTTGGTGTTCAAGAACTCATCAACCTGTTGTAGTGTTTGCCTTCGGTCCTGTCATCAAATAAATTAAAATTCTACTTCTATAAATAATCATAAACCAGAAATGAAGGACATGACTAATGAGCTCGCTTAATTGTCATGCAATGGTTGGTCTCAATTGTTAACAAAAGCCATGTGTACAAATTCATGAATGTGCAATTTGACTATTAATATATTTCAACTTCCACATCAATCATCACTATCCACTTCTACTGGAAGTTCATACAAAACAGCCAGGATCATGTGCACCTAGGATGTGGATGTGTTAAGCAAACAGAAAATTACCCCAAAGGACAGTACTACAAGCTATAGCTTTGCATGTCGGTTCGTTCTTTTTCTTTCTATCTTCCTTAGAATTTCTCTCTTCGTGCCTGTGGGTTCAAAATACATCTAGGTAGTAACAAACATTAACATGGTCCTTCTCTGATTTATGTATCTAGTTCAATTTTATGACCCTACTCTTTCAGTTATTTATCTTGTATAAATGCTTACATTTTGATGAAGTCGTAAAAAAAAGAAACATACCCTTCATTCCTTGAAGAGAAATATCTGATGCTGATTTAATGTGTAATAAACTCATCATGGGGAGGAAGTATAAAATTAATGCATATTCATGATGGAAAAGTCATGCGTCCTGCTTCAAAAAACATACTTACCTCAGCAAATAGAAGCTTCTTGCTTGCAAACTGAACAAGTGCAGCAGATCCTACAAGTTGGAGAATTGTTTCTATCTACAAACAAAGTAACAACACGTACAAGTAATTTTATGTCAGTAACATATTCACATCATGATGGATTATTGCTCTTCGAGAAAAAGGAATAAATTATAAGTAATAACTCATCAGATCAACCTCAGAAAAAGCTAATAGACCGAGTCCAGTAGCTGCAGCAATCCCAAGAGTAACAGCCAAGCCATCAGAGGTATCCTGTAGTAAAACTTCATTAATTAGAAATACTCAGAAATGCTAAAATTTAAGATCACGAACAATGTCTATTTATTTTAAAGGCAAGCGTGTAGAAATGGATCAATTACCATACTCTTCAAATGCAATATCTCATTCTCGAATTTAACTTTTCCGATAATTAAGTTAAGAATTCATTCTACATTTTCACTGATTAATCTGTTCCCTTTCTTACTAGCAAAAATCCTCAATTTAAGAAAGCTAACATTTTATTTTTCTCAAAACAATTTCAGTGCATCTGCCATAGTCTTAAATTTAACAGAAAGAATATGCCTACTATTTTGCAATCTGAAAATATTAGTAGTATTTTGCAAGTGCAACAGCATTGAAAATTATAATTGCAATTAGATGAATCCCAGATACATACTCCTATTGCATCAGTGATAGCATCTGTCAGATTGCCAAAATCCAAACTCAATGCTTTCCTTGGTGCTATCCAAGGAAGACCACTATTCTGCAGAATTCCAGTCCATGTCAGTGTATAGACGAGCAGTTAAATCCAAATATGATAAACATTAAACAAAAAAAAAGGGGGCGGAGGAAAAGAGAAAAGAAATACCATCCATCCTCGTGGTCCTTCAGCACCATCCTTAATTGCATATGCAGCTTTAAATCCGTTAAAGGTGACCAACTCTGCAACCAGTTCAGAGTTCCCATCAAATCTGGCTTCCATCACAAGTTCACTCAATCAGCTTCAAGTATATTCTTTTGTGAAGTGCAAGAAGAAACAACAAATTTAAGTAATTAAAGTTCCTCAAATGTCACATCAGATGATGTAGACTGCAGATATATAAGCTTAAATATTGATTTTCTTGCTAATGCCCCAAATAGGACATGTGTATACTCTATGGTGATTAGTAAACTTAACGTTATCCATCAAACAGAAAATAGTGTTATGGTTTGGTTATTACTTTAACATAGATTTCATAACTGTTCCTTCTTTTCTCTTTTAAGAGATAGATGTCGTAGATGTTCTTGTTTTTATTTAATCTGAATGAAATTCATCAAAAAGAAGAAAGTTTTTTTTTTGATAAAATTTAGAAAATGCTGTAATCTCTAACATTGAAATCATTCACAATAAGAGGGAAAATAACTTAAGTTTGAAGCTTTAATGTGATTTATGCTTTTTCCCTTAGAGAAAAAACTTATATCAAAGATTGATCCAAGTGAGATGACCATTTGAATGCATGATACAATGACACAACAACCTTTGAATGTTAATGAGATTTCTAGAGAGAGAAAAAAATTACACTATTCATAACCAAAATGACTGAATGCACTATAACACCAGCATGGATCATAATGACAAATCGAGAAAAACTGCAAACAAGATTGTTCTGTGTTATTCTTACTTGTCCAGAATGAACAATGTGGTATTCTCTGGTTCCTTGAACTTCAATGAAATCTTCTTTAAGAACCCTGGCTTATCATCACTCTTGTAAGCTATTGACACAGGTTTCTTCCTCAGACCCCCAACATCTGGGGTACCCACTTGTCTAATCTCTATAGGTGCTCTTACATCAAGCAATTGAGCATTTCCATCAGCACCCAGTTTTGCATATGCATTTTTGGCTGATTCAACACCCCATGGCTTAGGCTTCTTCAGAACCTGAAACAAAACAAGTGGCACTACCAAAACAGCTACTCCTCCAGCAAGAATTGCTGGGTTCTCTGTTGCAAAACTTATAACACTATCCACAAACCCATTTGCATCAAAGTCCCCAGAACTAGGTGCACTCAAAGATTTCCCCAATGCTTCCTCATAAGTTAAAGCTCTAGCAACTCCACCATTTACAACTGAAGAAGTTGCAAGAAATAGACCCTCATGCAAACCCCTTGATAACCGCTCTTGCAGTGCCTGTTTCCTGTTGCTAAAACTAGAAAAGTTTGTAACTTTGCATGCAGAAATTGTGGGCAGTGAAGGGAATTTTCTGGGTTGTTTTCTTCTATCAGAAAGAACAGATAGAGGGTTCAATCCAACAGCATTGAGGGCCTCCATAGTGTTAATTCTATAACACAGACACTCAAAGTTTGAAGTACACCATGAGAAATGCAAACCCAAAAGGATTGATGCTAGTTTTGCTTCCTTGTGTGGAAGTGATCTTGTTTGAGAAGAAACTGGAGAGAGAGAAGAAGTAAGGGTAAGCTTGTGTTGTTTTTTGTGGCTTGATGCAATTCAGTGGGTGTCATGGAGGTGCTGACGTGTCAGGGATAGAAGAACATAACCACTGGTTGCTTGACACGTGACGAGTGAGGATGAGACTCAGCTGATGAGGATTGAGTTGAGGTTTCATCGTCTGCAATTGTGTGGCTCAGAAATGTCTGAGTGATGTTTAGAAATTATTACTGCACTGTAGAAGAAGAGTGTAGTACGATTACAATATCCTCTAGCTGGTAAAAGTGTATAATTTTAAGGAATTTATTAATCTCATGTTATATGATATAGTACTCTTATGTGAGTGATATAAATATGTGGGGTCCATAATTTAAAAAGAAAATAAAAAATTGGCACAAAATTCTATGGGTATATGACATAAGATAGGTATCTTATGTAGCATGAGACTATCATTTCCCTAATTTTAAACTACATAAAGTTACGTAAAGTTGTGTCATTTTAAGTAAGAGAAAAAGATAGATAAAAGAAAAAAAAAGTGGACAAAAAAATATAAAAGTGTGGGTCTCACCTCTTTGTGAGAGTGAAATGACATAAATTATGTAATTTAAAAGAAGAAACACTTTTCCAAAAAGAATGGCTTTTACACTTTTTTTAAAAAATATTTTATGCAGAATATATATATATATATATATATATATAGGCTATTTGACCATTTTATCCCTCATTAATTAATTAATAACTATTTTCCCCCTGATTCGAAACTATCTACCAATCTGTCCCTCTTTAATCGACTACCTTGCATTTTTAATCGACTAAATGGTTGTTGGGAGATTTAGTCGACTAAATCTCCCTACTTAATCGATTAAAAAATCATACTGACTTGTTTTCCTTTGTTGTCTGTTGGGAGATTTAGTCGACTAAATAGGGAGATTTAGTCGACTAAATCTCCCAACAGCCATTTTTGTCTGTTTTGCTCATTTAGTCGATTAAAAATGCAAGATAGTCGATTAAAGAGGGACAGATTGGTAGATAATTTCAATTCAGGGACAAAATGGTTATTAATTAATTAATAAGGGGCAAAAGGGTGAGAAAACCTATATATATATATATATATATATATATATATATTATGATTGGTCTAATAGTGAGAGATTTAAATAATTTGCATGAGGTTATACGTTCAAACGTGTTGTCACATTGTATAAAAAAAAACAGCAAAATATTTCTGTAATTACTGTAAATAAGTTATCTGCATTTACTCCTAAAATGATATCGTTTTGAGATTGAAAGATTAAAAAATTATAATTATAAAGACTATAATAACCTTGAAATAAATTAAAATTACAAAAACACCATGATTTCTGTCTCAAAACAACATTGTATTGGACTTACTGCAGATAAATTATCTGCGTAACTACAGAAAAAACGAATTTAAAAAAAAAAAGACACAAATAAACTATAAACATAAGAAAAAAACGTATACATAATGTTGAATAGGACATCATTCACTTTCAATGGTCATATATCCATCCGATTAGCTTGTTCAATTCCACATTGTTTCTCACATAAAAAAGTTTAATTTTTTTCAATTCTTGTAAAGGAAAAGTTTAAAAAAAATGTTGTGATTCAATATTTTATCACTTACTCTTTTTCTTTTTCTTTTTTTAATCACCTACCTCCCCAATGTTTATTTTACTATTCACATGGGCAAAATTGGTATATTAGCCCAATATTTAATAACGTTCAATGTGAAATTGGATGAAAAAAAATTACAGGAGATACAAATGATAAAAAAAGATACAAGGTTGTAAATGATTATAGAGTAAATAACATGGTATTTTCTCCTTTTTGTTTCTTTACGATATCAAATCAATGATAATAACAAAGATCAACTAAAAGTCATTTACTTGATGGGAGAGGTGAACTTCCCAGGGACAATGACCTTTTTGTCATGTCATTGACAAATATTTATCGGAATGCCACATTACTTAACTCACTAAAACACGTAGCAAGTTACATCTGGACACGTGATAGCGAGTTTGAGGCCACGTAATTCACCGTAGTGCAGCGAGTTAGGCCAGTCAACGTGTCAGACTACGTAACCTGCAACAACGGTCCACGTAGCCTAACTCATTGTACTGTGCAGTGAATTACGTGGCACTTTTTGACATGTGACAGAGAAAGCATAACTCGCTAGACACTATAGCAACTAAATTCTAACTTGTCAAGGATACACGCAATTCAGCCCAGCGAGTACAATGCAATTTCACCAAAAAAAAAGTGCTTAAAAGTCAAAGCAGTACACTTTGATAAGCAATACATTAATTTGACATTAGCCCGGCTATACCCATTTGCCTAAATTAATAAATAAATAAAAAAGCCCAAAATTCAAGCTCAAGAAGATAAAAAAAATGATACCTAACCCAGTTGCAGAAAAATTCACCATGAACACCATGGTTTTCTTCTTTTACTCATGTTACCATACACTATAGCAGAAAATAGAGCAAACCACCTTGGAATTCTGATGATGCGAGTCATGATGAATGATGATGGTATCTGTTCAAAAAAAATTTTAAACTGAATATCATTTTGGGTCCTCAACAAAAAACACAAAACCTATTTTAATCTTTTAGAAAATAAAATCAACTTGTGGTCCCTATGAAATTCTAGTTATTTGAAATTGTAGTCCTTCAAAAATTAAAAAAAGGCCCACATTAGTCTCTAAAAATAAATTAATATAGATACCTTTTTTTTAAAGGATTAAAATAGTTCCGCATTTTTTTGTTAAGAACTCAAAAAAGTATTTACTTTTTTTTAATAATTATTATTGTTGGAATGGAGAAAAAAAAAGAGGAGAGAGAAAAGATGAGTCCAATCTTGAGTTGGGCTAACCAAATAAAAGATATTTATAAATATTACTACCTTCCATTAAACGTAGTGTTCTTGTCTTTTAAAATAGTAATTTACTTATATTTTTTAATTATTTGTTGCTCTAAAAATTATTTTATTTTACTTTATTTATTATTTTAAAAAATTAAGGAAGTTTTAATTATTTTTTATTTTTTTCTTATTCCTTTATATTTTTATTACATTAAATAAGAAAAAGAGTATATTTATAAATATTACTACCCTCCATTAAACCTAATGTTCTTGTCTTTTAAAATAGTAATTTACTTATATTTTTTTAATTATTTGTTGCTCTAAGAAATTATTTTATTTTACTTTATTTATTATTTTAAAAAATTAAGGACCACACTGGAAAAAAAATTAAGGAAGTTTTAATTATTTTTTATTATTTTCTTATTCCTTGATATTTTTATTAAATTAAATAAGGAAAAAGAGTATAAATAGAAATAACATTTTAAGTATTTTAATAAATATAATAAATAAATATTTAGAATATTGAATAATTTTCCTAAATCTTTATATAACTATCTTCAATAATAAACATTTTAAAATAAAATAAAAACTAAAAAATACAAATTAGTTCTCTTTCACAATGACTAAATTTTGAATGAATTTTATTTGTACAAATTGTATAAAATCAAATGAAAGAACATATTATCACTTAAACAAAAAAAGCATATAACTATGTATTATTAAATAAAAATATATTTATTGTTTTTCAATTTAATTCTCACAATTTATATAAATAACTCTAAACAAATCTTTTCTCTCTCATTTTCCTTCTCTCCATTCAAACAATAATATTTAATAAAAAAAAACTTTGAACAGATGCCATCATCATTCATCATCGCTGCAACTTGGGTTAGGTGTCATTTTTATCTTCTTAAGCTTGGATTTTGGACCTTTTATTTATTTATTAATTTAGACATCTGGGTATAGCTGGGTTAATGTCAAATTAGTGTATTGCTTGCCAAAGGGGTGTATTGGATTGAGATTTTAAAGAATTTTAATAGATTGTTTTTGGACAAAAAAATCTGTTGGTATTCGATTAGGATTTTAATGGATTGAAAAAAAGTCACGTGGTATTCGATTAGGATTTTAAAGGATTATTTTAAAATTCATCCAAATTCGTTGGTATTCAATCATGTATCCTTGTCTGACATGTTTGATAAAAAAAACAAAAAACAATCCGGGGGAGGTTTTAGGGCGGCCCTGAGACGATCCGAGATCCCCGACCTCCACAACTCCTCAGGCTCTAGGCTGATCAAATTCCCTTGAGAAGTGGTGGGGGGAGCTGGAAGTGGGGAAGAGGGAGGAGTGGGAGCATTGATCATAACCACCTCAGCGTTGGTCGAGCTACCGCCGAGTATGGTGCCTATCCGCCTTTTCTTCGAAGAATCCGACTCAAGAGAGGCTGCGTCTTTCGACTTCCCTTTCCCGATCTTCTTAGGCAGGAACTTCTTGTATTCAGTAGAGGTCATGCTGACTGCAAAAGAAGAACAAAAATCAGAATACAGTTCATAACCTATGAGAAAGTTTATACCATAAAAAATCTGATTACATACCGAGCTCACAAAGGGCATCCTCCCCAAACTTATCTACAACCCGACTCAAGTCAATAATGCCGAATTAATCGACATATTCAATAAGAACTCGGACTTCCAGGAGTTCCGAGCTGGAAAGAGCAGCTAAGGGGGTCGCATAATCCTTAGGACGCCTTCGATAATGTTTCTGCGTCCAGTACAATTCAAACCGAGAAGAGATGCCCCCATCTTCCAGCCACTGGTCAGCGAACCAAGGAAGGGTGTCCGAAAGAGATGCCACCTTAAAATAGGCGTCCTTGAAGCCCTTGAAGGACTGGGAGTAAGAAATGAAAATATCCCTACCAGGAGTACCTCGAAGGGTTACCCACCCCTTCTTTTCTTTAACCTCCGCACCAGTACGAAAGGTATATACGTCAAAGAAAAAGAAGAAAAAGGAAATTGTACAAGGCAAGCAAAGGTAGGCACACACTTGCTCAAAACCCCGGATGAAAGCCCATGAATTAGGGTGGAGTTGTGACGGTGCAACCTTAAGACGGCGAAGCACTGCCGTTGGAAAGTCGGTAAAGGGAAACCGAATCCCCA